CTTTCTCGGCATATTGTCTTTGATGAGACACTTTTTTCTTTGGTTGCTGCTCCATTTTCCTCTTTTCCTCGTACCTCTATGTCTGATCTGACTTCTTTCTTTTGCTCTTCTTCTATATCTCATTCTTCCTCTCCTTCTACAGCTTCATCTCCTGCTCTATCTCCTTCTGCCACTTTGTCTCCTTCTCCTTCTGAAGCTCGCGCTTCTCCAGTTGCTCATTCTTCTTCTCTTTCTGTTTCTCCTTCTCCAATTCCTATCTCTTGCATTTCTATTCACCTTCCTTCTCTTCCTTCTACTTCTAATACACATCCTATGATTACCAGGTCTAAGTCTTCCTCACCTACTCTTGTTTCTACTACCTGTTCTTCTGATGTTACTGAGCCTTCTTGTCACACCCCAAACCTGGGTATGACCGGCCGTGGCCCACAGGGCCTTAGCCCAAGGCACACGTAAGCCTAAACACGAAACCATAAACACATTGAATAATTAAACAATAGTCCAATAATAAATAACCAAAACTTAATCCAGTGACATGCCACAATTATAAACAGCAAAAACCAACCGTAAAGAATACCACCCAAACTTATGGGATATAAACAGTCCACATATCAAAATAATCCTAAATGAACCCCAATAAAAGAAAATAAAAATAAATATGCACAACTTGACATAACAATCTAAAACAACTAAAATGAATGCCCTAGAGGTCCATACAATTTAGTCCCCGCTACGCCACGAGTCCACTCTAAGTCTTTCTAACACCTGGAAATGGTAAACAACTAAATCAGCTGATAGCTTAGTGAGTAGCAACATAGATTGTATATACAGTTTTGAAAACAGGGATCAATTCCAAAATAAAGGCATATATCACAGAAACTAGATTGGCATACAGTTTGGTAAAGAGAATCTGTTTCAAAAAGAAGGTTCCACAGTTCAATAGTTAAAATACTCATGTCTCTCAAAAACATGATAAATGACATTTTCCACTTAAAAAAGATTACAATATGAACACCAATAATTTTCTGGGTACCAAAAAAAACAAATAATATGCCACACAGTTCTCAAGGCTATAAGCCACGTTAGATCCAATACCGAACTAAGAGTCATCCTCAAGGTGGCAACCTGGGCCTTTTCTCAAAGACGATCCGATTAAAGGTCACCTAGCTTAACCTAGGTCTTTTCCTTACAATCGTTGAGCACTAGAGTCATCACACACAGTGAAATAATTTCCCTAGACTAAATACACAGATGGTCCCAATAATCAATACACATCAGTTTTGCAAAACATGGTAGTTCATCATTATAAACATGAGACCAAAACAAATAGTTTACAGTATGCCAAGTTCACACATTTTCATAAATAATTTGATTCCATTGATAATATAATAATTTATCAAAACAATTTAGTCATGAAACAACAATTTAATTTTCCAACAGTTCAGGGTAGGGGAACATTTATAAAAATATGTAGCATGAAACTACTCACCTGAAAATGAAATAATTTAATTCTCGAATAAAGTATGAAAGTCCAACTAGTGCCCTGAACAAAGTATTAACACTACAAGTCACTACTAATTCAAACATACTAAAAGGAATAATAAATTAAGTAACTCCAAACTAAAGCGCACTAACACAGCTCAACCCAACTCACCGTTACTCTTAAATATTTCCTAAGTTCATGTTCTTAAGGTCTAAAATCACCCAAGACATGGGTTCAAATTGAAACTTAATTAAAAGTAACTTTAAGATAAAACAGAATTTTAAACTAGTTTTCCCAATCTATTCGCTAACTTTGAAAATTAAAAACCCACTCCACGTTGTTCGAAAAATTCTAAAACCCTCTAGATATCAACTAATATATCCTAAGTTTCAAACCCAAATGGTTTCACTTGATTTGCTTATCAAAATAATTATCTACAATTAATTAAATCTAAACAGGTTATTTTCTGCAGCACTTTAAAGAAATTAACGGTTCTCTTAGTATACATGAGCAATCAATGCAAGGCCAAAAACGTATAAAACTAGACTCGTAACCGGTTCTAATGACACTGATTTGGTAATTTTTGAATTTATACCCAAAGAGAACGACGCTTCCAAAGTTACTGTTTCGGACTGGTTTCCTGGACAGATTTGAATACCTCACTTTATATGGATTTTAACTCCAAAAAATTATGAAAAAATTCAGATATGCAATTAAATATGTAATTAATCTACTGTAAAAATTTTAGTTCAAAATTCATTCGTTTGATATAGTTTCTTGATTTTTAAAGTTTGTGGTTCTGTGCAGAATTCTTATCTAACGACTTTAGCTCCTTAATTCACTTTAAAATTTTGTATGATAATAATATACACAGAATACTAACCCAATCAGCCAATCCATTCCTTTTTCTTCCAATCAACACACCGAAACATCTATACACAATAATCATAGATATAATATATTATAGAAGAACAATACTTTAAAGTTGTAGAACCACAAGATGCTAGAAATTTCTCTCTCTCTCTCTCTCTCTCTCTCTCCCTCACAATGACTCACGGCTGCTAAGAAACCTAAAGTGGCTGCTGTTGTGTTGTGAAAATATTAAGAGAGTTAGGGTTTTTCTTTTGTTTTTATATATATAACTAACAACCTCTCTTATTTATTTATTTATTTATTTATTTATTATTATTATTATTATTATTATTATTATTATTATTATTATTATTATTATCTTTTAAAATTGTGGACACCCATAACTACCGACTATTTTGCCCCCCCTTTTTTTTAAATAATAAATCTTACCTCTAAATTAAAGACTTTCACCACAACTTTATTTTAGGTTTAAAATTAATTAAAAGTCCCTCCAAATATTTAATTTGCACTTTAAAGATTCACAATAAAAATATTTGAGATTTGAAAAATTATTATTATCTAATTATTTATTTTATTTGTATATTTGGGTTCTCACATTCTCCCCCCCTCCCCCCTTAAAAGAAAAGTTTCATCCTCGAAACTAACCTGAGTAAATCATGAGAATAGATGTGGGTACTTCTCGCACATCTCGTCCTCGCGTTCCCAAGTCACCTCTTCAACTAGATGATTACGCCACAATACCTTAACCAATTTAATAGTCTTTGTACGCAACATTTTCTCTTTTGAATCCAAAATCTGAACAGGCATCTCCTCATATGAAAAATCCTCTCTAATCTGAAGCGGCTCATAATCTATCACATGCGACGGACTGTGCACATATTTCCTCAGCATAGACGTGAAACTCATTATGCACTTCTGCCAACTTAGGGGGTAAAGCAACACGATACGCAACCTCACCAACCTTCTCCAATACCTCAAATGGACGAATGTATCTAGGACTCAACTTTCCTTTCTTTCCAAACCTAATCACTCCTTTCCATGGTGATACTTTCAAGAATACCATATCCCCCACATGAAACTCTAAGTCTCTCCTACGATGATCAGCATAACTTTTTTGTTTACTCTAAGCAGTCAATAATCTCTTCCTGATGGTGATAATTTTTTGTGTAGCATCCTTCACCAAATCAGGTCCTAACATTTGCCTCTCACCTACCTCATACCAACACAAAGGAGGCCTACACTTCCTCCTATACAAAGCCTCATAAGGAGCTACTCCCAAACTAGAATGATAACTATTATTATAGGCAAACTCCATGAGCGGCAAATAATCATCCCAATTACCTCTCCACTCCAAAACACAGGCCCTCAACATATCCTCAAGGGTTTGAATAGTCTTCTCTGATTGCCCATCTGTCTGAAGGTGATAAGCTGAACTAAAATTTAACCAAGTACCCATAGCTGACTGTAACGCACTCCAAAGCTTAGACACAAAGCGAGGGTCCCGATCTAACACTATTGACACAGGTGCACCATGCAATCTAACAATCTCCTTCACATACAACTGTGCAAATTGAGCTAGAGAATAGTTCATTCAAACTGCAACAAAATGTGCTGACTTGGTTAATCTATTCATAACTACCCAAACTGCATCGTGATTACTACTAGTACGAGGTAAACCACACACAAAGTCCATGGTAACATGATCCCACTTCCACTCTGGTATAGGTAAGGGTTGTAGTTTCCCCGCAGGTTTCTGATGTTCTACTTTAACCTGTTGACACACCAAACACTGAGCCACAAATTTTACTGCAATATCTCCCTTCATACCATTCCACCAAAAATGTTCATGAAGATCCCGATACAACTTAGTGCTTCCAGGATGAATGCTATAACTAGAACTATGTGCCTCCGTCATAATCTCCTTCCTCAAATCACCACTAGCAAGAACACAAATTCGGCTACGAAATCTAAGCAACCCATCATCACTAGCCACAAAGTCTACATGCTTACCCTCTGCCATCTCTCTTTTAATACGCTCACACTGGGGGTCAATCTCCTGAGCTAAACGAATATGTTCTCTCAAGGTCGGTTGAACTATCAATTGACTACAATAAGCCCTATCACCAGGCGTAACAACCTCAAGCCTTAAACGCCTCATGTCTTCCACCAAGCAACTCTCAATAGACAAAGCAGCTACATCTCCAACTGCGACCTTCCTACTCAAGGTATCTGCCACCACATTTGCCATCTCCGGATGATATAAAATATTCACATCATAATCTTTTGGTAATTTAAGCCATCTTTTTTGCCTCAAATTTAGTTCCTTCTGTGTGAAAATATACTTCAAACTCTTATGATCAGTGTAAATCTCACATGACTCTCCATACAAATAATGCTGCCAAATCTTTGGAGCAAAAATCACTGTTGCTAACTCCAAGTCGTGCGTAGGATAGTTTCTCTCATGTATTTTCAACTGTCATGACGCATAAGCAATCACCTTCCCATTCTGCATAAGCACACATCCTAAACCCTGTCGTGAAGTATCACTATAAATCACAAAACCACCACCATCTGTAGGTAAGGCAAGGATTGGAGCTGACGTCAATCTCTGTTTAAACTCTTGGAAGCTACGCTCACAATCATCATTCTACTCAAACTTTACCCCTTTCCTGGTGAGAATGGTAAGTGACAAAGCAATACGAGAGAATCCTTCCATAAGCCGTCTATAATACCCAGCAAGCCCTAGAAAGCTACGTACCTCCATCACAGAAGTAGGTCGTGGCCAATCAACAATTGCTGTTACCTTCGTGCTATCCACAGATACCCCATCTTTACTCACTACATGACCCAAAAAGGATACACTGCTCAACCAAAATTCACACTTCTTAAATTTTGCATACAATCTCTTCTCCCTAAGGATCTGCAGTACTACCCTCAAATGCTGCTCATCCTCCTCCTTACTCCTCGAATAAATTAGGATGTCATCAATAAACACTACCACAAATTTATCCAGTTGGGGTTTAAATACTCTGTTCATTAAATCCGTGAATGTGGCTGGTGCATTTGTGAGACCAAAAGACATCACCAAGAACTCATCATGCCCATAACGGGTTCTAAAAGCAGTCTTAGGAACATCATCATTCCTTACCTTCGACTGGTGATAGCCTGACCTCAAGTCAATCTTAGAGAATACTTGAGCTCCCTGTAACTGGTCAAATAGATCATCAATGTGTGGCAAAGGATACTTATTCTTCACTGTGACTTTGTTCTGTTCTCTATAATCAATACACAATCTCATAGACCCATCCTTCTTCTTCACAAACAACACAGGTGCTCCCCAAGGTGAAACACTAGGCCTAATAAAACCTTTGTCTAGCAACTCCTGTAACTGAGTTTGTAACTCCCTCAACTCCAATGGTGCCATTCTATAGGGTGCTTTAGAGATATGTGTTGTATTGGGGACCAAGTCAATAGAAAATGCGACCTCACGGTCTGGAGGAAGACCAGGTAGCTCCTCTGGAAAAACATCAACAAATTCCCTCACTACAAGCAACTTCTCTAACCTCTGCTCTGGTTGTTCAGTACTCACCACACAAGCTAAATAACCATGACACCCTTTTCTCAACATTCGGTTAGCTTGAAGGGAAGAAATAAAACCAATAGAAGACCCTTTCCCATCTCCCTGAAAGAAAAACTCATGCTGCCCCAGCATAGCAAAAACTACCCTCTTCCTAAAACAATCAATAGAGGCATGATGCTTCATTAGCCAATCCATTGCCAAAATCACATTAAAATCCTTCATCTCTAAAGAAATCAAATCCACTGGAAAAATTCTACCATCTAACTCTATCTCACAAAATCTACAAACATCCTCTAACGCTAGTGTTTCCCCTAGTGGAGTAGACACAACAACACATGCATCCAAAGGCTCACAAGGAATAGACAAACAACGTAGAAACTTAGGTGCAACAAAAGAATGTGTTGATCCTGAATCGAATAACACTTTGGCAAGTACAGATGATATAAGGAGTGTACCTTGTACCACAGATGGAGCAGCCTCAGCCTCCTCTCTAGTGAGGGTGTAAACACGTCCTTGGGTAGCCACTGACTTCTTTTCCTGAGTCCTATTCCTGGATGTCTGACCTTGGGTAGTCCCACTTTTGCCATTATTCTGCTTCTAGTTAAACCCACCACTATAAAAAGTTCATCTCTGCCCTTGCCCCTGAAATGACTGTGCTATTGACTGACCTCCCAGCCCCTTGGACCTACATTGTGTAGAGAGATATCTAGGCTTACCACACTTGAAGCATATTCGAGTTGTGCCATCACAATTATACCCAACAGAATGTGACCTACCACATCTATCATAAATCCTCCAATTCTACTGCCTCAGGCCATTGCTAACCTGACCTTGGGTGTAAGGCTTCTTGCTAGGATTGCTACCACCACCCCGATGCTCTACTTGTCTTTCCTCCCTAAGTCTCTTGTTTTGTGGTTCCTTGGCCTTTTGTTCCTCAGCTCTCTTTTCCTCTTCTGCTCCATTTTCAGCTAGTAATGCCTTGCTTACCAATGCAGAATATGTCTTCATCTCCAAAATAGCTACTTTGGCATAGATCTCTGACTGCAAGCCATTCTCAAATAACATCACTCTATCTTCCTCTATGGCCACCTGATGTGGGGCATACCTTGACAACTCTGCAAACTTGTTTCAAATTGAGCCACTGTCATGTCATTTTGCTTCAGAATGAGAAAATCCACTTGCTTCTGCCTTTGTACCGCTTCAGGGAAGTATTTCTCATTAAACAATTGTAGAAACTTGCTCCATACTAGCTCTGTTTCTCTACCCTCATATTGACGCTTCACCATGCGCCACCAATGCTCTGCTTGGCCCTTGAACCTAAAAGCTGCGAAGGCCACCTTCTGGTCTACTGAATAACCTAGAACATCAAATATTTTCTCTATCTCTACCCATGCCTTTGCCTCTATAGGGTCCACTATTCCGTGAAATTCTTGAGGTTTTGCCTTCATAAATCTCTCAAACAAGGAACCTCTATCCAAACTTAAAGTTGGTGGAACTGCTGGTTGTGGGGCAACATGATTGTTCAGTAGTCCCAACAATGATTGTAAAACCTGAGCGGCTGGTGCAACAGGAACAACTCCTGGTGCTTCAGGGACCACTGGAGCAACAGGTGGTGCAGTAGGGGGAAAAGAAATAGGGGGAACTCTATGATTAGCGGCTGATTGATCAGTTCCAAGAGCATTGACATTTCTTCTCCTAGGTGCCATCTCTTAACCTTCAAAATTAAATTAAGAAAAGCTTAACACAAGCTTAAACAAAAATAACTTAACCAAACACTACTAAGGACTATAGGGACTCGGACCTCGTCTAAATGATGAAATGCAAGTTATGTAACTCAATAAATTACAGCTCTGATACCAGATTTGTCACACCCCAAACCCGAGTATGACCGGTCGTGGCCCACAAGGCCTTAGCCCAAGGCACACGTAAGCCTAAACACGAAACCATAAACACGTTGAATAACTAAACAATAGTCCAATAATAAATAACCAAAACTCAATCTAGTGACATGCCACAATTGTAAACAGCAAAACCAACCGTAAACAATACCACCCAAACTTATGGGATATAAACAGTCCACATATCAAAATAATCCTAAATGAACCCCAATAAAAGAAAATAAAAATAAATATGCACAACTTGACATAACAATCTAAAACAACTAAAATAAATGCCCTAGAGGTCCATGCAAATGAAGGGGTGGCTGTAGATTCATCCAAAATAGAGGCAATGCAAGATTGGGCATAACCTAAGAATGCTTTTGGGATTCGTAGTTTCTTGGGGTTGGCCGGATATTACCATCAGTTCGTGAAAGATTTCTCCAGATTAGCTTTGCCTCTGACTAGATTGATGAGGAAAGGGGTCAGATTTGTGTGGAGTGAGACTTGTGAAAAGTCGTTCGAAGAGCTTAAGGTTAAACTTACCACCACTCCAGTCTTGATTATTCCAGAGAGGGGTTTAGGCTATTCTGTATATTGTGATGCTTCACTACAAGATATTGCACTTTTGGTGACTACTTTTGGCGACAACGTCAATTTTTCATCGCCAAAAGTATATTTTTGGCGACACTGTGATCAATTTCGTTGGTAAATGTATACCTTTACCGATGCAATTTGTTACCGTCGCTAAAAAAGCATAACATTCTTTTAGCGCCAAATTTTTTGGTTGGCGCTAAAATATCAAAACTTTTAGCTACGAGGCTTATGTTTTAGAAACACAATGAGCGTTGCTATTAGTGTGCTTACTTTTGGCGACGACAAGTTAGCGTGGGCAAAGAGTTAACCATTTAGCGCCGATAACACTATTCGTCGGTAAAAGTTTTGCTAGTGGAATGATGTGATTTAGTGATTTGTGTTTTTGATTATAATTTTTCAAAGAGTTTTAAATACTCTAGTTACTGACTTGTAAAATTAAAATGATCATTGAATTAGATCACAAAATGAACCTATTGAGCCCAAACACACTCTTAAGTTGAGATGACTATTTTGAGATAATTTAAACTTCTTCAAAGAATATGGTTAGATTATCAATTTCAATATTTTTGGTTTTATTTTCAGAAACTAGTTTCAATTTTTTTTTTCTAAAAAACTAAAAAAAATTGGGTGAAAAAAAAAACTTATTATTTTTGTATATTTTTATCTTTTAGGTCATAAATACTTTTTAAAATTTTAAAAATATAATTTTGATTTTTATTGCTCTAAAATTATTTTTAATTTTTTTAGAAAAACAAAACTAAGAATTGTTTTGAATTTTTTTTTTAGGGGGGGTGATCTGCTGATTGGGCGGTGGACATTTCCTTCTTAAAATTCCCTCATTTTTTTTCCCTCATCAAATCTCCCCTTATCAATCTTCACGATTTCACTATTGCACACCCTTATCTCAGAATTCGTAGTTCTCTCTCCCTCACGATTTCACTCTTGATCGTAGGGTTTGTGCCGTTTGTTGCTACCGTGGACGATCGGTGCTTCAGTCTGCCCCTACAGGTTTGTTCGCTTTTGCTTTGTATCTTAATGCCTCTACTTCTCTCTCTCAATTTCTTAACTGAATCTATGTTTGTCTATTTTTACTTCTTCTACTACTACCTCTATCTACGCATTCTGTAAATGCTCATTCTATCAAGCATGTCAGATAGGTTGCTGGGTTATTGTTCTTTCTTGTAACAATTGAGACCTTCGTGGTTGTTTTCTCTCATTTGACCAACGTAGGCCTCCATGTTGATCCGGTCTAATTTTTTCTCCTAGACTTGTAATACTCGACTCTAACATATGAACAACACCAATTTTATCAAATCTGCAACTACTTTCATGTTCATTTTTCTATTTCAATGATGAAATGCATAATTTGCTTACATTTGCTTGTTGGGATTTATGCATTTGTAGAAGGATATACTATCTACTCTAAAAAATTGCAATCATGAATCATGATGCTTTATTGAGTTGACTTGTTCTTTTCATAACACACAGTAGTGGACTTCATGTCTCTCAATATTCCCATGTGCCTATTATATTTGATACCAGTGGAATTTCGTAAGGTCCTTAGAGTACAATTTAAAAAAAATTAAAGTCTAATTCATTTAATGGAGTCAGGGCATGTTTACTCTTTTGTGTGTGTGTATGTGTGTATCTCTCTGGATGTATGTGTGTAAAAAGTTTTTAAAGGACTTAGTGCTCATGATGTGCTATGATATATCAACATTTACAAGTCTTGGGGACTTGATATCTTAGTTTACTCGGGGATATTCCTTTCAAGTTCTTTCTGATGTGGTTTTACAATTTTCAGTAACTGACAATCTACACTAACTTTGGTTTGCCTTCAACATTCCTGTCTTTGAATTAGATCTCTACAAATTCGCTTATTATTGGATGTGTTTGGTAGATTAAGTACCCTGTGTCCTTGTCTTTTGAACTTTGTTTTTTGAAAAAAATATAATAACCATATTATCCTTACTTTTGCCGGTAGACTATTCATTGTTGGGTTTTGTAAATCTTACAGAGTTCAAAAGACAAGGACACAAGGTACACGACACAAACTGTCAACCTTTCTTGCTAAGTTCGTTTCTTACCTTTTTATGGGATTGCTTTTGCGCCAAAATAACCATGGGGTTGTGTCTAGTGTCGAATTCATTTGTTGTTCCTTTAGTAAAGGAAAACTATTTTCGCTCCCTATTTCTACTATTATCCCAGGTTTTGTGGGCTTCAAAGAAGTTGGAAATTATCAAGTTCTGAAGTTACTAGTTATGTGAAGAATTAAGAAAGATAAATTAGATACATAATTTACCTTTGAGTTTTTTTGCTCTTCTTTACTTTTTGGGTTACCTACTTTGTGTAGTTCCTTAGTTTATTTCAGTTAAGATATTGTTGTAACAAAGGAAAATAGTACCGGTTGAATCTGTTCCACCTCAAACACAAGCCACCCCTTATCAAAGTTCTATTTCTACCTTTCTGTACACCATGGCTACGCTCCCTGACCCTTCTACAATTTTTGCACTGCTTCATCTAAACACTGACATTGAATCTGAAACTACAGACCTAGCTGTACTATTTATCCATATAATGAGCCTAGAAACATGCTCCTCCCAAACAGATCAAATTATTGAAGAAAT